GTGTTCGGGGGCGGGGTGGGGGGGAAGGAGGAGGGCAGCTCTCAAGCAGGGATGGGCGTGGTGTGATCCAATGAGTCAGGAGGGAGTTCTGCCTTGGTGGTTGTGGGGAGAAGAGTGGCTGCGCTCCAGTCCCTTCTTGAACCAAGCACTGCACCTCGCTTTTTTTGGGTGCGTAAACTCCCCAGACCGGGTGCACAGTCAAAGTGGGTTGCGCTCTTTAACCCAGGCCAGGCCTAGTTTCCAAATCCCAGTTCGCGCGCCCCACTGAAATTGCTATAGACAGAACCTTGCAAGCGATCCCCTCAGGGCAATTCCAAGGTTCTTGCCTAGCCCTGGGAGTGGAGCAAGAATCTGCTGCTACCTTCTCCTCAGGGTCGGGTTGGCGAGCATGGGTGGGGGTTTGGCTGCGGGGCACGCCAGCCCGCTGGAGGGAGAGAAACCAGGTCCCTCTGTGTCTCATCACCTGAAACAGGAACTCGCAGGCAAATCTCCCAGTTTTAAGCCCTTTGCCTTCCCTCTAGAGTTCCAGCCAGCCAGGAGTGTGGAGGTACACGGGCGGCTCCCTCCCGTGTTCCTGAGTGATACCTCTTCCTAACAGGTCAGCAATCTAGTAACTGAAATGGTTCTGTGAGCTGCTCTAGCGCATTAATGCAACTCGAGGAGCAGATAACAACCTAGCCTTTCTAAGGCTTCTGAAGGGGGGCGGCTTGTGGGAGCAAGCCTTTAACCTATGGGGTCTGCTGCTGTCTCTGGGAAGATGGTGTGGAAGTTGAGCTGAATTGTAGGACACCTAGTTGGTGTCAGAGCACTGACTGTAGGTGTGGGAACTCCCACCCACCCCCGCCCGCCACACAAAACTTCCCACATTGAAACTGGGTGTAGACCTTCTTACAGCTGCAACCAGATGGCCCCGTGCCCGCTTCATTAATATATGATGCCCTCCCTGACCCTCGCCTTTGTAATCTACCTGGAAGACTGAGGTGAAGTTAGCACAGGTATTCCCTGGGTGGTGGGAGACGAAGCTTCTATTCCCCCCAGGCTTCAGCCAGACTGAACTGTCCCCCTGTCTCTGTTCCAGGCCTCACTGTCCTGCTGACTCTGTCAGGATCACATGTCAGGAATTCTGGAGGTGAGCTTAGTCATTGCCCAATTCCAGGGGAAGGAAATTGGGGTCTGCAACCTGCCTCACGGAGAGGGATGGAGCCCTTTTCAAGAGAGACGACATAACTCCTGCCGCCTTCTGCCTATTGCTTGCAGCTCCCAAGCACCATTTCCCCCTTTGCATTATCACTGCACCAGGTTCCATGGTGAGCAAATTGCACACGCATCCCATTCAGTCCTGACCTTCCAGCAGAGAAGGTGCTGACACTGTCCTCACTTGAGCCCAAGGGCCCTCTGGAGAAGTAGCAGGATCAAGGCCACACAGCTGGTGGATGGTGAACTCTGCCCTTTCTTTCCCAGAGCCTGTGTCCAACGAGGGCAGGAGACACTTGTGTTGTTACGCCGCGTCCTGGGTTGCGTCCCTCCAGAAGCAGACCCTGAGAAAAGGAGCTGTGAACAAGTCATTTATCTGGGAGGTTGTTGAGGCTTTGGGGTGATAGTGGGGTTCGTGGGGTATGGAGCTGATGACCAAGAAAGAATTCTTGAAGACGTCTTTGGTGCAAAAAGATGATTTATTGAAGCACGGAGACAGGACCTGTGGGCTTGAAGAGCTGCCCTGGACCATGAGGAGAGACCGGTTATATACTATGGATTCCAGGAAGGTAAAGTCCAGGGGAAGTTTCCAGTGAGGTTTTCATATGCCAAAGAAGACTCACAGGATACTGGAAGCCTAGCTAGTGTCAGGCTAAGGTTGTGTTTCCCTGTAGCAAAGCAGTGACATTAAGACAGTAAGGAATTCCTGGAGCAATATTTTACTCTGCCTGCCTCAAGTAGTTGTCAATGGGCTGCAGGTTATAAGAAAATTTAGTTCTATCTACCATTTCCTTCTGCCTTTGTTCCCCACATCAGGATGGAAGGTGATGGAGACTTAGCTCCTGCAGGACCATGACCTCTATCAGTTAACCCTTTGTTTTTCCCCTTCCCTTTCTTCTTGGACCCCTGGAGTTCCCTAGGAATGTCACACAATATCACACCTGGGGGAGGGGTTTGCATCCTGTCCCCTGCTCATCTCCATTCTGAATGTCAACTACTTTTGTTTCAGACTCTTCCTCCCCCCGCCCAGGTGTTCCCCAGTCTGCTGTACTGGCTTTATAACTTCCTTTCTGTCCCACAGCCCCTGCCCTAGACCAGACCATCTCTCTTTTCTCTCCTCTGGATGCAGCCCCAGCCTTCCCAGGGGAGGGGGCTCCTGCTGGGTCCAGGGCATGACTCTTCTAAACCCCCAGTATGCCCCTCAACCTTGCTGAAATACCTTCTGATGCCCTAAGGATCAAGTCCAAACTCACCCAGTTTAGAAAGTTATGCATGAAAGGATCTTTGCTGACTTCTCCTGTTCAGACATTCGCTGGTATGAGGGCTCCTATGAGTAGCCGTGACAATCTAGTATAACAAGAGAATAATGATGGTAATACCAGCAAATTTTACTGAGCATTTAATCTGTGCCAGCACGATTTTGTGCTTTCATTACATTAAACCTCAAACCCTGTGAAGCTGGTGTTGTCCTCCTTTTGCTGATGGGGAAAATTGCTTCTAGGTAGACCAGTTGTCTCTGTCTGCATACCCTTCCACTCCAACATTGGAAGCTTTAGAAAACAAGGTTGTATTTTCTTATAGTTTCTGAGGGTCTGGGAATCTGGAGGTGGCTCAGCTGGGTGGTTCTGGATCAGGGTCCCCCCAGGAGGTCCCAGGCAAGCCATTGACCACAAACCTCATTTCCTCCTCATGCTGGGTGGCTGGCTTCCCCTGGTGAATGATCCCACAAGGAGAGAGCAAGTAGGAAGCCACAGTGATTCTCTCACCTCAGATGCTTCAGATGCCAGTGTCACACACTCCTTGTCCTGTTGAAGAAGCCCAGCGCACACCCAAGGAGAGCTCTCCCTCTTGAAGGGAAGAGTATCAAAGAACCTGTGAATGTGCATTGAAGCCACAGCATTTGTCTATCTGCCTCTAGTGTCCACACTCTGGATACATGGAAGAAGGGTTAGAGAGGAATGTGCAAGTTCCAAAAATTGCACCCAGTTGGCGGTATTGCCCTACCTTATAGCACACGCTCCACAGCGATCCTTTGGGTCATGGCCTGATGTTATCCTCATTCTCCAAATGAAGAAACTGAGACCCAGAGAGGCAAGTGACTTACCAAAATCACTACGAGAACACACTGGAGTCATGACTTGATCCTAGGTCTGATTCTAGCTCTTGTGGCTGTCATACCAACGCTTGAGTTTTTCCTGTACACCAGGCCTTGTTCTAGACATGTCTCGTGTGCCCACTCCTCAGATGCACACTTCAGCCCTACTAAGTGGAGCCTATTATAATTGGGCCCACTTTACCAATGGGAATGTTGAGGCACAGAGAGATTAAGAACATGACTAGCAAGCGGAGGAGATGGGATTTGAACTCCTGGTGATTTGGCTCTAGAGTCTGTTTATTCCCCAGGGTTTCTCTGTAACACATCACACCTCTTGTTTATCCTCTTACTTGGATATTGCTGTGTTTCTGTGCTGCTCTCAACTGCAGCCTCACTGGGCAGGGTCCTTTGATGCACACACAGGGGGCCATTGATGAGTCTTCTCAGTGATCATACCTCCAAGGGGGGTACTTTGCTTTGCATGGAGCAAATGGGAGAATGCAGAAACACGTGGGGCTGTTCTTCTCAAGAACGTGGGGTTGGCTTTTGTGCCTCATTTTAGCCTGTATAGATGTTTTGGTGCCTACCCACACCCAAGACCCTGAACCCCTCACGGCACCCTAACTGACATTTGTCATTTGACAGGCTTACACTCAGGTTACCCCATTCTGTCTGTTTGGTGGCCAGGCCCAAGGGGTTGTGGGTTGATGCAATCCTCAATCTGTGACTGGCAGTACCCAGTGGATACATACCCCAGCTCCCTTGCTTTTCAGTTGGGGTAACTGAGAATGTTCTGGGCTGCCTTTCGAGGTCCTGGTGACATCAAGTTCCAGTTTCTCACTATGCAACTTGCTGGAAGACGTGGCCACTGGGGACCCTTTCCCCCCCCCATTTCCCTGCTCCCCTCCCCAGCTGGGGTTTTCTGGGGTCACCTCCCCGATAAACAACTTTCACTAGAATCCCAGTCTCAGTATCAGCTTCTGGGGACCCTGGCTAGGCATTGCCAGACCTCTGTGTGTGTGAGATCGTACACGCAGGGTTGGAGGTGCTGCTGTGCTGGGGTCACAAGTAGGAGAGCTGGAGGTAGATGGAATGGTTCAAGGGCAAGGCCTTGGAGCCAGAGGATATGGATTCAAATCTCGACTCCAAGTGACCTTGGACAAGTCACACTCCCTCTCTCCATGGCTAGCTTTCTTTATTAATTTTAATGTTTGTTGTTGTTGTTGTAAGATGTCTAGGGGTCAGAATCTCTACTCGATGATGTGGATGTGATGCTGAAATTGAATTTCGTTGGCCATGTGTCTAGAATGGCACCTGGTCCGTGAAGGCTGAGATGGCTGTCTCTTAGGGTGGGCTGGGAAGAGTCCTTTGAGTCCGGTCTTCGCTTTGCTGGGGACAGATGGCGGTAGGTTACTTGGAGGTGCAGGGAAAGAAGGTTGAGAGTCAGTGCTGGTGGGGAAAGAAAAGATGTAAGAGTTGGGGGAAGGAGAGAGGCTGGAGAGCCTGAACACAGCAACACAGCAGCTGGATCAACTTCTCTTCACGGTGGCAGAAAAATAAAATTAGGGGTTTGCCACAATGTCCTCATCTAGAAAACTTCAGCAAGAAGGGCTATCTTGCCCTGGTGGCGTTGAGCAATTCTGGCTCCACCCCTACCCTCTCCCCATATCCTCTGCTATTGAAAACCCAGAGAACGAAGAAGAGGTTCCCTTCTTTGAATGACAGACACACGGGACCATGAGGAACCTCAGCTTGCTCCTCTTATGGGGTGAGTGTGCACTGAATGGTTGTGGGAGGGTTGGGGGAAGCCTGAACTGGAAATAGAATCCAGGGAAAAGGGAAGGACATGGGGCATCCAGCCAGGGATCCCAATCCTAGGCTGGACACTACGAACACCTTCTTTATAGGACCTTTGAGAAAAATCACTCTGCATAGGGAATTCCATCTGTCATGCTAGACTTTGTAGTCATCTGTTTGACACGTATTTCTTGCAGCCATGAGTCTGATTTCATAGTAGGAAGGTCAGGCAGAAGAGAAGCCACTTACAAGAATAACAAACACCCATTTGCACCATTGTAAGTTCCTCAAATGTCTTCACCAACCTCCTCTAATATTGGATCCCTAGTAGTCTCGTTTTACCAAGGAGGAAACTGAGGTAAACTGAGGTAAAAGAGATTAAATAATTTCCCCAAGACTACTAAGCTAAGAAGTACTACACTTTATCACTATGCTATCCTGTCCCAAATAATAACTACACAAAAGCATTTCAGGCAGCCATAGTGCTGTGAAAGTAGACAGTGTCTGGGGGTTATGTTGATGGGGGAAGTCAAGGAAGGCCTCTCGGGGGCTGGGGTGATATGTGTGCTGAGCCCGAGCCATGAGATGGAGCCTTCCTGTCTCTTATTTTCCTTTCTTCAGGCGTCAGTTTGTATTGGTCTTGTTTATTGTCTCTGTTCTGGTTTTCTTCCTGTCTTTCAAGAGTTGGTCACTTGTTCAAATCTATGAATGCAGGACAGTGTTTCGAGCAACAGGTGCAGGCTTCCCCACCTGGGGTCCAGTCCATCTATTTGTGGAAGAGAAAACTTAAGCCCAAAGAGAGTGAATAACTTTCCTAAGGCCATGCAGTCAGTAATTCATGAAGCCAGATTTTTAAGCTCAAGCATTTTGACTCCGGAGTTGGCATGCTGAAAAATGATGTTCTGTTGCCTCTAAAGTAATTAACAAGCAAGAGAATTTCAGCTGGTGATAATGAATGGGAATGTTGCGATTTTGGGGCTGTGGGACCTGCTGACTGGGAGGCTTCATTAGAAGAAGCAGGTAACTCGTGGACTCCACATGCAGGAATGCCAAGTTGTTGCTTTGGCCTGTCTGCCCTGGTATTAGCTCTAGTGCCTCTTATTCTGTCCTGAAGTTAATCAGCAAAAGGTGGTGACGACGTCATGGTGCTGCGGGTAGAGGTGGTGGGTTCAGTGGGTGAACGTCGTGGGGGTTGTGGAAGTGGAGGTTGTAATGTTGGAAACGAGCTTGGTGCTGGGGGCTGCACTGCCTTTTAGCCAATTTTTTAAAAATTTATTCATATTTGCGAGAGAGAGAGCATGGGGGTGGGGTAGAGAGAGAGGGATAGAGAGAATCCCAAGCAGGGCTCAAACTCACAAACCTTGAGATCATGAACTCAGCTGAAATCAAGAGTCAGACCTTCAACTGACTGAGCCACCTAGGAGCTCCTAGGAAAATTTAAAAGTCTAACCACCTGACCTCTAATGCCATTTTAATGCGACAGATATACTGTACATCTATTTATGTATTATATGTAACATTTCCATACGTCTTCTTTTAAAAAAGTAAGGTTTTTTTCCATCTCTCCCAAAGAGCCATGTTTTGTCCAGCTGGGGGAGATGTCTTTTTTTTTTTTTTTTTTTGAGAGTACATGTCTTAGTGTATGTTCTTGAAAATCAGCTGGTACCTTTTTGTTCTGTCATTGAAAATTAAGATGATACAAACAAAGTGAAAACCATAAAGTGCAAAAAAGCAAGAATGGCTTCTGTGAACATTATGTGAAATATTGTGTGTCACTCAGTTGGATCTCTCATTTGGACTAATCAGAATGGAATACTTTGGAATACTTTGTCAGATTGATCCCACATTGCTTCTTGATGGTTCATGGTATTTTTCTTTTCTTTGTTTATAGGGTGTTGTGGTTTATGCAGCTCGCATTTTTTCTCAACAGAATCAACGACAACTGGTAAGTTGGTCAAAGAGAATCCATATGCTCAATGTGCGGGAGGGTGTTTTCTGGGGAGGAGATCCTTATGTCCCAGGAAACTGAGCTGCAGCTAAACACTTGCTGGGAGCTACTTAGTGCCAGAGAAAGGGATAAATAATATCTGGGTCTCCTAGTTTCTTCTCTAGGCTCTTACCTATGTGGTCTTGCATTCACTGTGTGACCTCAGATAATACACACAAAACCGCTCTGATTGTCACTTTCCTCAGCTGTGAAATATAGATACCAAAGGTTCCCATCTACGGGGATGTTGGAAGCTTAAATCAAAAGAGGTAACTTGGTTAACCACCTGGCACATGTGATAAGAGCTTCATAAATGGTAGTGTGGTGGGAATACATTTTTAAAATGTATTGTTTCCTTCTTCTATCTAAGCTCCTGCTGGATGGAGAGGGAAAATATTGCAATATTGCCAGTTCTTAGTGTTCTCAATGTCTCAGTTTCCTGGCTCAGCCTTCTCTGGGAAACTCAGTCTATGTTGTACAAATAGTTAATCTTTCCAATTTCCTACCCTCCCAAGATGGCAGCTGGATATTGGTATAGGGGCAACTTCTAGGATCTTTTGGTTGTGGAAGGTAGACTCTGTTTGGGGTGTTTTGTCTGGGGTGTTTTGTCTACTGATAGAGCATGGCCCCACCTTGCTTGTGTCATTCTCCTCTCAGCAGCTTCCCCCCCGCCCCAGGGGTCCATGCAAGAGCTTCTGCTTTCTTTGTTCACGCTGTAGGAAATAAAAAGAGCTTTCTTAGAACTACCTACTAGCTACTTCCCTCTGCGGATTCTAATTGTTGGCTCTCACACCTTGTTGGATGTGATACCCGCAGAAAGCAAGCTTCTCTTCTAACTAGGAAACCCTACATGCTTTCTGTTGGCAGAAGTCAGCCCCTACCCTTGATACCCTAAATTCACCCATTCGGTGTGGGATTTTCTGAGGTGAGGTGGCAGGGGAACAGGTCTTCTGGTAGGTCCTTCTCATCTCCTCTCTCTATTAGCTTCCCATAGTTGTTTTTTCTTAGCCCTTGTGGTAGGTATTTGCATTACGCCACAGCTTAATGAAAACTCTACCTTCTAGTCCTCCAAACCTGATTCCTGAAAATTGTTTTGATTGAGTTTTGTCTGACATATAACAATCTGTGTTAGTTTAAGGTGTACACTTGTTGACTTGATACACACATATATTGAGAAATGATTACCAGCACAGTATCCACTAACATCTTCATCACCTTTCTTTTGCTTTTGAAGCTATTTAAGATCTACTCATAGCAACTACCAAGCATATACTACACTATTGTTTTGTTTTTAAATGTTTATTTTTTTTTTTGAGAGAGAGAGAGAGAGCGTGTGTGTGCACGCGCTCGTGAGCAAGGGAGAGGAGGAGAGAGGATCTGAGGTGGGCCCTGGGCTGTCAGCAGAGAGACTGATCTGGGGCTCAAACTCAGACCCACGAACTGAGATCTGACCCACGGTTGGATGCTTAACCAATTTTGTCACCCAGGTGCCCCTGTAGGACAGTATTGTTAACTAGAGTCACCATGCTATATACTAGATCCCCCAAACTCATTCCTCTTATAAGGCTTTCTTTCAAGACTCTTATCTTGCTGGAAACCAAACATCTAGTTTGGTATTTAAAACCTGAACGTTGCTAATTTACTTTCATCATGTGTCTACTGCTAAGACATCTTACTTTTTCCTGACGAAGATGAAATTCTTTGGCAGAATGTGTTGGGGGAGTGGGCTCACATCCATATAAGTGGAAAAGAGAAAATTATATATTTTCAAATCATATAAGGGTCACCTTAATTTTTAAAAATAATCATTATCATTGATTCCAAAAAGCCTTTGGCTGGTAAGGAAGTAATTATATTAATCTCCAGCGCTCTGGGACCTAGCCCAGGTCAGATACAGCACAGGCAAGGTGGGAAGAAAATAAAAGAAAGAATGTGTGCCCCATGTCGAGAGTGTGAGAGATGTTATAGTTGAGGCATGTACAAAGAATTTGTAAGTAAGACTTCAAAAGGTTTAACATTTGAGAAGACTGGGCACAATTGGCATTAAAAATGCATAAACATTTTTTATAAGGGCACTTGTTGGAATGAGCACTGGGTGTTATATGCAAACCAACTTGAGAATAAACTATTTAAGAAAAAAATGGGATGTTACCTTTGCGATAGTTCATCAGAGTGCCCACTTAAGGTATTTGTGCTTTTCTGTCTCTACTGTACTTAATAATATATTATAAAAATGCATATACATTTTGGGGCTCCTGGGTTCAGTTGGTAAAGCGTCCCACATCAGCTCAGGTCATGATCTTGCAATTCCAGAGTTCGAGCCCCTCGTTGGGCTATGTGCCGACAGCTCTAAGCCAGGAGCCTGCTTCAGATTCCGGGTCTCCTTCTCTCTCTGCCCCTCCCATGCTCGCACTATCTCTCACTCTCAAAAATAAATAAACATTAAAAAAATTTTTTTTTTTTACAAATAGTTTATTGTCAAATTAGTTTCCACGTAACACTCAGTGCTCATCCCCAAAGTGCCCTCCTCCATGCCCCTCCCCCCTCCCCCCCACATCCATCAGTCCTCAGTTTTTGTCAGCATTCAAGAGTCTCTCATGGTTTGCCTCTCTCCCTCTCCCCCACCATTTCTGCCCTTCTTCTCCCCCTTGTTCCTCCGTCAAGTTCCTCCTAATCCTCCTATACGTGCAAACATATGATATTTGTCCTTCTCTGCCTGACTTATTTCGCTCAGCATAACACCCTCAAGGTCCATCCATGTTGCTACACATGGCCAGATTTCATTCTTTCTCATTGCCATGTTTATCTATACCATGGAAAAAAAATTTTTTAAATGTATATACACATCGACACAACAATTCCTAATCCAGAAATTTGTTACAAAAAGATATTCATATAATCCACAGAGAAACATCACCATAGACACGAGGAAGTGTACTTATACTACTTTGGTAACAACTTGGAATAAACAATGTCTACATGAGGGGACTGGTTGAATAAAATGTTGTGTTTCATAGAGTAACCCTAGCTACTGTAACAAACCCAAACTGTCCGTGGCTTAATAAAAAGAAATTTAATTTTTGTTTAAGAATCTAATCCAGATATTTCTGGTCAGTGGCTGGCTTTCCCCAAGCTGTAATTCAGAGACCCGGACTCCTTCTGTCTTGTGGCTCAGCCATGCTAGGGTCTTAGAGTCTTGTGCAGACCTTAGAAGAAGGAAAAAGGAACAGTGGAGAACGCACACCCACTTTATTAAAACCCCATGCTGGCAGTGATGCACGCTGAATTTGTTCAAGGTCATATGGCCATACATGGACACAAGGTGAGCTGGAAATGTAGTTGGGGTTATACAGCTGCTTGCCAGTGACAGCTTCGTAGTATGGACAGGGAGTGTGGAGTAACTGCTTGATTTTTGGCTACAAGCCATCTCTGTCACAGTCACGTCCCATGGACACAATGGAAGGTACACAGATGTTCAAAAGCATGTGTTACATCTGTAGGGACTGACATGGAAAGGTACCCCAAACATATTCTTCTCTTAATTTTTATTATAGAAACCTTTTATTATTTAAACCTTCAACGGTAGGGGAAATACTGTAACAAACTCCTATGTACCCATCACCCAGCTTCTGTATTTGACTAATGTTGCTTCTCTTGGTTTGCAAGACCTACTCTAGTGCAAAAACAGTAATAATACAACCGTATCGTCCAACAGAACTTTCTGTGATGACGGACATATTCTGGATGTACGGTGACCCCTAGTCAAAAGGCGCTAGTGAACAACTGAAATAGGGCTAATAGGACTGAAGAATGGAATGTTTCCATTAAAAATATTTTTTCAGATTTAAACGCAGCCATCTATGATTAGTATCTACTGTTGTGGAGAAGCACAGTAGATTCTATATTCCACTATCCCATCTGTGTCCATAAAATTGTGTGAATTTATAAATGTATCTGTATTTAATAATACATTTGCATGACTGAGGCTTTGAAAAGGACCTGTCTTTGAGGGGATTCACTCTAAGCTGTTGACAGTGGTTACCTGTGTGTATAAGGATGGGGGACTGAGATCTTCACTTTTACTTTATATACTTCTGCACTGCTTGAGGTTTTCTTGTCTTTACAGCTTTTTAACATTTTTTTATTATTTTTGAGAGACAGAGACAGAACATGAGTGGGGGATGAGGCAGAGAGAGAGGGAGACACAGAATCCGAAGCAGGATCCAGGCTCTGAGCTGACATCACAGAGCCTGATGTGGGGCTCAAACCCACGAACCATGATATCATGAGCTTAGCCAAGCCATGGTCGCTTAACCAACTGAGCCATCCAGGCGCCCCTGAGGTCTTCTTTTGCAAGCACTCATTACCTTCTTAGAAAAAGATGCAAACAAAACAAAAAGGTACCAAAATACGGGTTACCATCTGCTTTTGGTCAGTGTCTGCAGAAGCAGAGCCTGATGAGAGGATTCTTGTGTGAGTAATTTACTGAGGGAGGGCTGTCAGGAGGCACTTGCAGGGGATCGAGGGAAGCAGGACAGAGCAGGGACAGACAGAGCCACATGGAAGGTGTTTGGGGAGAGCCTCGGCCACAGCCTGGTCTCACAGGCAGCCCTGGGGCGTGAAGTGCACCCCAGGGGCTCACCTGCTCAGATCAAGGGGGAGGCTTGCTGTGACGTTCCAGCATCTGTCTGCCGGTCATTGCCTCCAAGCCAGTGAAACAGCTCGGGGATAGGTATACCAAGCCGGTAACGCAGATGGCAGGTGCCAAGAGCGACCAGAATCTACCCTCTCCTGACCTGGCAAGATGGGAAGAGCTCATGAGCTGATGTAGGTGAAGGCCCAGGAAGAGACGGTACCTGTTGCTGCTTTTGTATCTCTCTCTGCTGAATCACCCTCATTCAGAGAAATACAGAGGCTGGCTGGCTCCCGGCCACTTTCAAGGGGAGCCGATGGCTTCT